TTTGGATGCATGACAAGGTATGGCTGGCCTTGCTGGCTGCGGTCTGGCATTGGCAGCTCATGTTCATCTTGGAGTCAATAATGACTCCAAGGTCCCTTTCCGCCTCTGTGCTTTCAAGAAGGGAACTCGCCAGCCTGCATGTATGCTGTGAATTCCTTCTCCCAAGGTGCAGCACCCGGCATTTGTCTACATTGAACCCCATCCTATTCTCATCTGCCCACTTTTGTAGTCTGTCTAAATCTAGTTGCAGCCTCTCTCTCCCTTCAAGTGTGTCCACCTTGCCCCACGTCTTAGTGTCCTCAGCAAACTTGGTCAGAGTGCTTTCCACCCCGTCATCCAAGTTGCTGATGAAGATGTTAAACAGTGCGTGTCCGAGGACCGAGCCCTGGGGTACCCCACTGCTCACATCTCACCAGGTTGAGTACGACCCATCCACCACTACTCTCTGGGTGCGCCCCATCAGCCAATTTTTTACCCATCCAACTGTGCAGGCATCAATGCCTCAGTCACTTAATTTATTGATGAGGATGGGGTAAGAGACAGTGTCAAAGGCCTTCTTAAAGTCTAGAAAGACTACGTCCACGGCGACACCATCATCCAAGGATTTAGTTACTTGGTCATAAAAGGCAATCAGGTTGGTCAGGCAGGACCTGCCTTTGATGAACCCATGCTGATTGCCCCTGAGCATGATCTCCCCTGCAGGCCCCCCACAGATGTGCTACTTGATGATTCTCTCCAAAATCTTCCTGAGCACCGAGGTAAGGCTTACAGGCCTCTAGTTACTTGGGTCCTCCTTTCTCCCTTTCTTGAAAATTGGGACCACATTGGGCCTGCGGCAGTCTCCATTTCCCAGCAGTCCCTGCTCACATTGCTGCGGCCGGTTTCCATGGAGACCCTGAGAGCAGCGGCACCATGACAGCACGGGGCCAGGGTTTCCATGGAGACGCGGCCCCAGCAGTGCTGGTAGGGTGCATATCTGGGTGGGAAGCTGCTCCCGGGCTGGGACCTTACAGCAGTCACAGCATGATCTGGAGCTGGGACAGAGCTGCAATCCACTGCCTGCGTGACCCAAGCAAGGGCATGCAGGCAGTGGATTGCAGCTCTGGACCATACTGTTACCACTATAAGATCCCAGCACTGACCCTGGAACAGCTCACTGCCCAGTCGTGCACCTTGCCAATGCTGCTGGGGGCCAGTCTCCATGGAAACCCTAGCTCCATGCTGTCATGGCACCACCACTACTGGGGTCTCTGTGGAAACTGGCCACACTGAAATGGGCAGGGGCCATTTTGCCCACCTGTGCCCTAGGCACTCTTCTGCTATTGTTTGTTGTGCTAACTAGATTAAAGCAAGCACATATATACTTACCTGTGCGCTATATTCTCCATTGCTGGAGGTGTTCAAGAAAAGGTTGGAGAGCCACTGGCCAGGGATGATCTAAGCCAGGGGCTGGGAACCCCTGGCATGCGTGCTGGAGTGTGGCACATGAAACTATTTTGCTCAGCATGCTACAGCCAGCCCAGGCTCTGGGCAGGCCCCTGCCACCAGCCACAGAGCCAGGGCTGCTCACGTCAGGTGGCAGGGAGGTTGCAAGCAGTTGCAGCAGGGTCTATGGAGCCCTGGCTTGGCTTGTTGCTGGCGGCAGGTTCACACATGTCTCTAGGCAGATGGTGGGCAAGGGGCCAGGGCTTCACTGCCACAACAAGGATTGGGCCCTTCGTGGCTCCCTCACTGTCTGCTCCTGGCACACCAACATTTTACAAGTTGAAGTTGCACGGTTTTTTGGCATTCTGCCCAAAAATGTTGCTGACTGCTGATCGAAGCATAACTATGCCATTCCCCAACCCAAGTGTAACTGTAGGTATTTCCCATGCTTCTGGGCTTTACTGCTTGCCCTCTCTTCCTTCCCCTCACCCCTTTTTCTGCTATATGTGTCAGGGTGTTTTTAAGCCTTCCCAGAAGCATTGGGTGTTGGTTACAGCCAAGGCTGGGGACTTTGACTAATGCTCCTGCTGGGACCAAAGCCAGAGGTTCCTGGTTAGAGGGCCTTGCCCCTCTGCTCATGGTCAGACCAATCTCCATATTTGGGGTCAGGAAGGAATTTTACCTCATGGTTAGATTGGTTTGGACTGTGAGGGTTTTTGCCTTCCTCTGCAGCTGGGGAGAGGAGGGAAAGGGGAGTGTGGCCCTCTCCCTTGGATCTCTTCAGCATATATAGGACAACATTTCATGGAAGCAGGATGTTGGCTGCTGTGGTTCTCCTATTTTAGCTGTGGCAAGTTAGGGCTGTGTTGTATCAGGGCTGAGGGTAAACTTATGTAGAATTTAAATTACGGTTTGGAGAGAGTCTAGCAGAGGGCGACAAAATGTGGAGGGTGTTACATAAATTGCCAATTGCTCAAATCATGAGCAAGACCTTATGAGGGAGGATAAGGCAAGATGCCGCATCTATTGATTAAGCGCTTAATACACACACACACACACACACACACACACACACACACACACACACACACACACACACACACACACACCCCCCCCCCCTTCTGCGCTGGTATATGTTACCAGTCTTATCGGTGCTTGGATCAACTTGGTGGCCAGCCAAGTTGATCACGAGTAGGAGCCAGGCTTCTGGCAGTCCCTCTTGTCAGATGAACTGATGCTCCAGGATGACATGCAGAACAAGATTCAAAATCGATACATCTCGCCCCATCTTTTATAGCCTTGTCAATTCACCCAGTCTTCTGGGCTTCTGCTGGGTTATCATTGTGTTCTTCCTTGAAGGTCAGTTGCCGTTGTTCTTTTGCTGTTCTGGGGTGGATTTTTCTTGCTTTTGTCTTTTATCTGTCTGCATTCTTCAGTCAGTCACCAGCTGATGTTTTCCTTTTCCACAAACACACTCTCACCCATTCTCTCACACATACAGCATACAAAGGTCGAGCACTTATGTCAAGATACAGAATGGAGCAATACAAAATGGAGTTTTTTAAGGCAATGCAAAACTCAAGAAAATACATAAAATTAAAAGCAATTGGCAAAAAGTCTATTTGTATAACAAGGGGGCTGGAGAACATGATTTATGAGGCAAGACTGGGGGAACCGGACTTATTAGGCTAGAGAAGAGGAGACTGAGAGGAGGCTTAATAGCAGTCTTCAGCTTCCTGAAGTGGGGTTCAAAAGAGGATGAAGATGGACTGTTCTCAGTGGTGGCAGATGACAGAACAAGGAGCAACGGTCTCAAGTTGCAGCAAGGGACATTTAGGTTAGATATTAGGAAGAATTTTTTCACTAGGAAGGTAGTAACGCAATGGAACAGGTTACCCAGAGAGGTGGTGGAAGCTCCATCCTTGGAAGTTTTCAAAAACCAGCTAGACAAAGCCTTGGCTGGGATGACCTAGTTGAGGTTGGTCCTGCTTTGAGCAAGAGGGTTGGACTTGATGACCTCCGGAGGTCCCTTCCAACAGTAACTTTCTATGATTCCTGCCTTGGGGAGGGAACTAGATGATCTCTGGAGTACCTTCCAGCCCTGCTTCTCTAGGATTCATACACTGTGTAGCCACCCCTTTGTTTGCAGATGAAAATGTATGCACTCTGAGTACTTCTATTGTCTTCAGAGACCCTGCTCAGAGTGTTTTAAGTTAAATAGCTTCTTAGATATTCTCAGTGTAGGCGTAATCATGTAGCTTTTGTGGTGCGAGCTAAAAAAGTGCTAGCACCTGAGCCAGAACCAATGGTGAAAACTTAGCCAGATATTAAATGTTAGGTCTGATTATCTAAAGGAATTCAAGTAAGGAACTGAGTTTTAAGATGACCACGTCTTTTTAATCACACTCAACAGATACTCAGAAAAATCACTCATATAAGCTACTGCTGTGTTTTTATATAAGCCACCCTTTTTTTTTTTTGGAGCAGCAACATGCTTAATCTACAGGATTAGTACAGTCATCTTCCTTCACTACCATGCCTTCTAGGCTGATGTTCAGCTCATGCCCTTTCACTCCACCTCATCTCCGGAGGAGGCCAGCTGGTTTCATGTTCTTTGCTGTGCATCTCTCCCTTCCCTTGTGGGTTAAAACAGTCCGATTGTAAGGGGGAAGGGAAAGGCACTTCCCACGTTCTGACCAAATAAAGGCAGGGGGCTGCCCTGCTCCTCTGCTTTCTGCTCCCTGCCTGTTTTGACTTGGACCCACCAAATTTCAAGCCCAGACTGGAGTACTTCATGTTACACACCGGAACCAGACTGCCTTTGTGGTGTGTTGTTCCCAGCTTAAAGAGAGATGCCCGAGGGGGAGGAGAAACACAGGCCCTTTAGGAGGAGCTTGTATGTCCCAAGTTCACCTAATACATTTTCACAGCAGCTCTCACTTTTTTCCGTTAGCTCATCTTCTCCCTGACCACATCACCAATGCAATCAATCAAGGCAGCTCCCTGTCTCTTTCCTTTTAGTCCTTCAGAGCACAGCTCAGGGCGGTTGGGTTTTTTCTGGGGGGAGGAGGGTTCCCACCTTCCCCCCTTTCTGGGGGCAAATCTCCTGCCCAGAGCAGCGTGGAGAAGTCCTTGCCCTTTAGGAGGCTGCCGGGCGTGTGGGCATCCGCCGGCAAAGGTTGCCAGCCATGTCCGAGTCAGATGAAGGGAAGCAGTTCGGCTACATCATGGAGTTGATAGAAAAAGGCAAGGTAAGGACCCGGGCGCTGCCCCCGGCGGGGGAGGGCTGTGCTGCGGGGCCGGGCGGGGATCTCCCGGCTGCGCCGGCCGCCCCGAGGGAGGGAGGGAGGTGGGGAGGGAGGCTGCTGCAGCGGGATCCGCGGGCAACAGGCGCGGAGCGAGGCATCCCCGACCCGGCGGAGCCCGCTCCCGGCCGCTGCACCGGGCTGCGCGGGCGCGGGGGGGGACCTTTCTGGCGGGCTGCCACGAAGTGGCCCTACGCAGGACACCCATTCCCAACCCCCCTCCCCCCCGATTTGCGGCTCTACTTCCTGCTCCTTTCCCCGCGTCCCGCCTGACTTGGTCCGTCTCCTGCTCCCTGCCCGACCTGCTCCTCTGCTCTCTGCTCCCCGCCGTGTCCCCCGTCTGACTTGCTGCGCTGCCTTCTGCTCCCGCCCTGCATTCCCTGTCCCACTTTACCTTCTGCTCCCTGCCAGATCTGCTACTCTGCCTTCTGCTCCCTGCCCTGTTTTCCCCGTCCAGGTTCTTTACTTTCTGCTCCCTGCCAGATCTGCTACTCTGCTTTCTGCTCCCTGTTCCATGTCCCCTGTTTGGCTTGTTCTTTCTGCTCCCTGCCCCGCCTGCTGATCTGCTTTCTGTTCCCTGTCTACTCTGCTGCTCTGCCTGCTGCTTCCTGCCTGATCTGCTGCTCTGCTTCCTGCCCTGGCCACCCCTGCCTGTCCACTCTGTGATCTGCTGTGCTGTGCCCATGCCACTTGTGGCACACTTGCTGCAGGCTGTCATCCCCCTCATTAAACCATACACCCCAGGATTCATGGAGCAGCTCTATCTCTGGTGCTAATCCTTCTGAGATGGGCATCTTGCTATAAACATGGGACTAGTCCCATTGCATGCAGTGCCTGTGGCTACACTGGGGAGAAGGTGTGCACTGACAGCCTAGTACCAGCAAAGCACCCTGCAGCTTTAAAACATTTGCCGGATGACATTAAACCCCTATTGGCATTTCCCTTGCATAGCTAATGTGTAAAGTTACACCCAGCCTGTCTATGCTGGGATTTTAATGTGCAATTAGAAAGCAGCATGGTTTCTAGCATAGATGCATACACTTTTGCAAAATTGGGGCCTGGGTCATTAATGGGAATATATTAAGTTACCTGAGCTGTTCAACATTCAGAATGATCCTGGGAAATGAGCCAGTTGTAGTGCTGCATGCAGTACCTTAGCCTGAAGAGCAGAAACACGGGGAAGTGCTCAAGCAGAAGGCAGGGTAGAGGTGCACCTTGCAGACTAAGTAAATCAGAGATGCATAAGTTTCATGAATCCAAGGTCACTTCATGGTGATCTCACTTCAGTTCTTTGTGCATCACTTCATGACGAAGTGAGCTTGGGCTCACGAAAGCTTATGCATCTCTGATTTACTTAGTCTATAAGCTGCATCTTTACCCTGCCTTCTGCCTGACTTCAGACTAACATAGTTTCCTCTCTGCTTAAGGAAGAGTCCAGAGACATTCTCATTTCTATGGAAAAGAAAGGCACAAAGAAGAGTTAATTCTTAGTACTCTGAAGCAAAAAGGTGTTAAAAATCTCTTTGGAAGAAAAGTTGTTGTAATGATTATAACAGGAGACTGCTGGGCCTCTTGGACTCTATTCTTAGCTCTGCCATTGATTCTCTGTGATTTTTGGACCATTCACTTCACTTGTATGCTTCAGAGGCTGACTGGTATTTGTCCTGCACTTTAAGATCTTCAGCTTAAAAGTGACATATTTTTAAGCTTGAGGTAGAAAGAAAAGTCTAGCATTTGGTGGCTTTATCACTTGCCTGTACTCCAGAGTGTCCCAATGCTAAATTAGAGTTACAAAATGTGCTAGTATAGAAACAAATACTGGCAACGTGAAATTAAATATTTTCTTTTTTATCCATGGTTGATGTGGCTGAGAATACTGCTCTAATGAAAACACTGTTGTCTAACAGGAAATGATTCAGGACTTGCAGAGACATTTTGGGGAAATAGCAGTGTCTGCATCTTTTAAAGCAAAAAAAATAAGGAATCCAACCCCTTTTTTCATATTAGTAAAGGCTGATGGCTTTTTAAACCTTTTTATCTGACTTCTTTTCCTGGAAAGGTTATGCTATGGCTTGTGAGAGCTCTAAAAACCTGAAATACACCCTGTACTTTAGATTAGGAAAGGGATTATTTAAGGAACTCTTCCTCTTTCTATTTCTGTTCTTAAAGCATAATGAGGTCTTTGTGCATGCTCAAATGTGGGTTTGTTTCATTTTTGGCTTAGTCAAAGTTGCCTGCCTTCTATTGCTTTTCTCTTTACTTCTCCTGGTAAACTATTAAACATTTGGAAATAATAATGGCTGTAATGATGCATTGTCTGGAAAAAAAGACTAGTAATTCTGAATATCACTAATGCCTCACTCTGAATAAGTGTTGTGAATAGAAGGCTATGTCAGGGTGAGGGAAATGTTCTTGTCTGAGGAGCTGTTTCTGCTTACTAGTTAGCGCTGCCATTCTTGCTGGACAGGATTCAAGCCTGTGGCTCATAAAGAGATGCCTGAAGACAAATTTTTGCTGCTGTCATGGGCCCCATTGCTCTAAATGATAGGCATCAAAACTGTTTCCAAAGATTGCAATCACTTCTTGCCCCACAATAAAACAATGGGTTTTATTTTCAGCTCTTCCATCACAAATAATTGTTCTGGGCTGGTAATAAGTACCAAACTTTCCTTTATTACCTCTCTTTAGTAACACATACACCAGTAAGGTAGCATGAGGAATGGATATCATAGAATCATAGAAAGTTAGGGTTGGAAGGGACCTCAGGAGGTAATCTAGTCCAACCCCCTGCGCAAAACAGAACCATCCCCAATTAGATTATCCCAGCCAAAACTTTGTCTAGCCAGGTTTTGAAAACCCCCAAGGATGGAGTTTCCACCACCTCTCTGGGTAACCTGTTCCAGTGTTTTACTACCCTCCTAGTGAGGAAATTCTTCCTAATATCTAATCTAACCTTCCCTTGCTGCAACTTGAGACCATTGCTCCTTGTTCTGTCATCTGCCACCACTGAGAACAGTCCAGTTCCATCCTCTTTCAACTCCCCACCTCAGGTAGTTGAAGGCTGCTATTAAATCCCCTCTTAGTCTTCTCTTCTCAAGACTAAATAAGCTCAGTTCCCTCAGTCTTTTCTCATAAATCATGTCCTTCAGCCCCCTCACCATTTTTGTTGCCCTCCTCTGGACTCTCTCCAATTTGTCCACATACTTTCTGTAGGGGTCTCAAAACTGAACACAGTCAACTCCAGATGTGGCCTCACCCATGCAGAATAGAGGGGAATAATCACTTCCCTTGACCTCATAGGCAACACATAGGAGAGGCATGGGGGGCACATCCCCCTCCCCCCCACGAGATTGGCTGCTGCTGAAGCTCTTGCCGGCTTCTGTGGGTGCTTGCTGCCGCCCCCCTGGCGGTTGCGGGCAGCCCCTGCTCACAGCTTGCTGCTGCCGACAGTGTGGATGGCGGCTGCGGGTGGTCCCTCCCCACTGCCTGCTGCTTGCCACCCCTCCCCCTCACTGCCAAGACTGCTGTGGCTGCCTGCAGGAGGTCCCCACTTGGCCCGCCCTTACCACCGATGTCACTGCAGCCACCTGTAAGTGGTCTCCACTCACTGCCACCATGTCCCCTGCTGCCGACACCGTTGCCGCCGCCTGCAGGCAGTCACTGTGCCCCTGCCAGCCTCCAGGGGCATGCGCCGTTCATGCTTGAACTACTGGAAACACACCTACCAATGTAGCCCAGTATGCCATTAGCCTTCTTAGCAGAGTGTTGGCTTAGATTCAAGCTTATTATCCACTGTAACCCTAAGTCCTTTTCTGCAGAGCTGCTTCCCAGCCAGTCAGCTGCCAGCTTGTACTAAGTGCAGGACTTCGCACTTGTCCTTGTTGAACCTCATGAGATTTTTTTGGCCCAATCCTGCCATTTGTTTAACTCACTCTGAATCCTAACCCTACCTCCAGCATATCTACTACTCCCCACAGCTTGGTGTTGTCTGCGAACTTGCTGATATCAAATGTTAAACTCGGCCACTGATTTCCCAGAATGACATAAGGGCTAGGGACAAACAGTCAAAAAGCCTGAGGCTGAATTGATCCAATCTTTGCAGGTTTCTGTGAACTACTTAGACTCAACTGATAAGAAAGTGAAGTCACACTAGCTTTTCAAAAGTGGAAGGGAGACAGACCCCTGCAGTGGTCCACACCAGGAGCCAGGGCATGCTAGAACTCACCTCCCAGCCTGGTGGCTAGTGGGGAGATGGATGACTTCCCCAGCCACGCTCCCTCTTTAGCCTCCAGTCAGCTGAGGAGGGGGCATGGGGGAAACCTCCCCATCAGACCTCCAGCCAGGCTGTCCCTAGTGCTGGGGAAGGGGAAGAGGGAAGCCCCCAGTGGGGTGTTTCTCTCTCTCTCCCCATGCCTGGATCCAGTCTCCCTAGCCATCCCACCTCCTCAGTCTGGACTGGCTGAAGATGTGGGGGGAACCTCTCCCCTCTGCCTGGCACTGGACCCCCAGCAGGGTGGTTCTTTCCTCCCCCCACACCCAGAGCCAGGAGCTGGGCTGATTACCTGGCTGTGCCCCCTCCTTGGCCAGCAGGCTGGCTGAGGAGGGAGTTGGGGGGGGGGATGCCCCCCCAAGCTCTGGACCCCCAGCTGGGCTGTGCCAGGTGCAGGGGGAGAGCCCTCAGTGGGGGCTGTTTTTCCACACCTTCCTCCTCAGCTGGCCTGCCCACTGGGGAGGGGGCATGGCCTGGTGATCAGCTCAGCTTCCAGCTGCAGGGAAGCCTTCAGTGAGGGTTTTGCTCCCCCGCCTGAGCTGGGAGCCAGCCTTATCACCCAGCCATGCTCCCTGCTCAACTGGCAGGCTGGCTGAGGAGGGAGTCAGAGGGAAACAGCCTCCCCCTACCCCACCCCCGCACCCTGACTTTGGATTTGTATCCAGGCTGTGCACAG